CCCCCCCGCGATGGATTTTTCTTTGTCTCCCAGATATTTTTAGAGGTGTTTATTGTAGCTGATGTTTGTTTGTTTTTTCAGATAATGCTTAACATGTACAGAGAGGAACAAGGTGTAGAGGAACTTCTGGCAGCTGATAAACTTCAGTCATTAATTATAGCAACTGCTTCCCTCTGGGACCAGTGTAGCCACTCGTGGAAAGTACCTACAGGCCGTGTGCTGAGAACAATTTCAAAGGCTCAGACCAAAAACAGCATTGTCTACCTACAAGGTTTGGTTTAGTAATTTGACTTCTCCTTTCCTCATAAGTCCACTGAGACTGAATTCTCAAGAATCTCCCTGGGATAGATTTTTATCTCTACATCATCTGGTAGTCAGTCAACTGCAAAGCATGGGCTCTTGACTTTCTAGACAGGAACTTTATTTAGTACTAATAGCCATCTGGAAACTGAAGTTTTTTTCTACACAAAAAATAAAATTACAGGCAAGAGCCAGTCCCGCCTGATCACACTAATGTAGGCAAGGACAAGATGTATTATTTTCCTTTAAAGTTGTGTGACTCAATGTGTGAGCCTAAGGCTCATGCACACTCTAAATACAAGATTGAGGGCACTGCCAGAAGAATGGTATCTTTTGGAACAACATTATGATTGGATGAGTTACATCCTCTTTTCTTCCTAGGCTTTATTAGAGTAAGCAATTTTTTTGTTATTAAGAAGTGCGAAGGCCATGAGTCTCAATTTCTTAGAAGGAAAAAAAAAAAGTTTTATAATCCACACTTTACTGTCAGTATTCCTTGTCATGAAGTACAGGTGTTTTTGTTTTTTAAAATAATAATTTGGTTTCCTGGGTGAGATTGGAAAACTGATGAAAAATAGTTCTAAGAGTACTGAACTGTTTAGACATTTTGAAGCTGTCCTGGAAGGACTGGCTATCAGATTAGACAAGAAAACTAGGTTTCATTGCTCAGAGCAAGATTTGTATATCTCATTACATATGCCTCATTGACCAAAGAATTAATCTGTGAACTTTGCACAGAATGTGTGATTGACTTAGTACAAGACAATTAAATATGTCAGCCTCTGCTTACTTTGTACTCAGACAGCTGGATTCACTGTATATGAATTTTGGTGAGTGGGTGGGTTGGAAGTTTATACTCCTGAGACTGAATCAGGTTCTGGGGGTTAAGCAAAGAAATGCATGCATACTTTAAAACCAGAAGTGTTCTTCATGTACCCTCTGAAATGAGTTTATATATCATGAACAATGATGTTCCTATATCCTCTTGTCTTTTCTTTCTAGAAAAAGAGTTAGCTGACTCCTGTTTTACTGGGAAATAACTTTTCAAACTTATTCCATTTTTGTTAGTTACTTTGAACTTGTTTGACTGTCAGTTCTTAAATACCTGCTTTTTTTGTCCCCCCACAGCTGTGGACTGCATTAAAATAGCTATTCAGAATCTCTTCAAACTGGCTGATACCCTACCTGCTTGTGATGTGTGTGAAGCTGCTAGTATTGTCTTGTGCTTTGTGAAAGATTCCTATCCCGTATCATCAGCTTTATTAACAGAGTTTGAAAATAATGATGGCTACCAACTCCTGCTAAAAATTTTACTCAGGTAAGTAGAGGTGTTTTTAGTGGTCTTCTAGAGGATGGTAAACTTCATTTTTGGAATGCATGGTGATCTGTTTTAAAAATGAATCATGTAGGTAATCTTGTGCAGATGCAAAGCCAGTAATAAAGACCCCAATATTGGGTCTTTCATTGCTGTTTTAGGAAGGGAAGCAGTATGTAACTTCTACTGAAACCATAATGGAATTAACGGTAGGAGAAGTTAACCTGCAGGTGGGGTAGGGACTTACCGAACACAAGACAAAGGCTCTTCATCAATTAGTATTAGAGGGGATGTAGGTCAGAGACATTTGTCTCAGCTGAGGTGAACTCTTGATCCAGGAATGCAGTCAGCTAGGGAGGGAAACCTGATCTCCTTGCTATGCAGAAAACAAACAAAAAAACCCACCCAGACTTATATCTGAAATGATTACGTTCTTCAGAACTGAGATGAATATGAACATATCAGGACAAATCCCTAATAGTTATCCTAATCAAAAATACAAAGTAGAATCTTTTACTGTCCTTGTCTCCTAGCATTGTCTAACCAGGCTCTGAGTTTGCTATGTCAAAACAGTACATTATACCATTTCTCCAGAATCACTTAGGAGCTTTGTTCTGGTTTTCGTTAATATCATATGAAGAGAGCATTTCCAAGTCTTCTCAATCTATTGTTGTTTCCATTCTGGCTTTGCCTTGTCTTGTACTACTTCTCCAAAACTTGCAAGAACTTTGGTCCCTGACCAGTATGTTTAGTGGGGGGTTGTGTTTTGTAATTTGGATCTAGAGTGCTGTAAATTTGAATCATGAATCCAAAGATATCTGTAAGTGAGTATGATTTCTGATGATTTTTGGATGGCACAAAATTATTAACCTACGGTTGGAAGAAGTTTTCTCTTTTTCTGACACTTTTTTCTTTAGTTACCACAGATTGCCTAGCTTAGCTTTCCCTTACAAATAAACTGTGTTGAGATGTATATTTCTGATGAAATTCTAACCATATATGGGCAGAAACACCCAGTCTTTATCAGTAAGGGTTATGACTGCTCCTATCCTTTTTAACTGATGTAACTAGGCTGGAGAGACAGAAATAGCATACAGGTGCTCGGGCTTCAGATTAGTCTCCCTTCCCAGCATATACTGGCAAAAAGGGATAGACAGAGAGCTGATTTCCTAAATGTTTTGTGTGACCAGGTTTCCTCTTTTCTGATGTTTGGAATTTCTTTTTCAGGTAAAAAGAATCTTGCTGATCACATTCTTTCCCACCATAATGGGGACTAATATTTGGCCTGGCCTTTTTTTTTTTTTCCCTTGTTTAGATTAAAACAGAACATATTTGTTTTGTTTTCTTCTGAGATTTTCCAAACTTCCAGTATCAGTCTATTGCTCTGCCGCTACCCCATGCCCAGATGCTGCAGTTTTCCTTAAGAATTGAACCCTCTAAGCAGTACAGAATAGGATGACATGATAAGCAGCTCTCTGCCCTTTGATAGACTCTCACTTTAGTCCAAACTATGGCAAATTTGGGGTTACAGTTCAAACTATTTCTTTATGTAGGAGAGACATGCCATCTTCATGTCTGATTCACAAAGCTCACGCAATACAGTATTTTTCCCTTCCTAAGGGCCAGGTTTTTTCTGCTATTTATCTCAGTTAGCAAGTCCTTTAGCTTGCCAACTGTATGCCTGCCTTTTAGTGCGAAGTATCTGTTTTCATTTTTTGATCTTTCACAAAAGGCAGTCTTCTGGAGAGAATTAGTTTTGGGGTTTTGTGGGGTTTTTGGGTGTTTTTTTTTTAAAGTACACATACCTGGGCTAAATTCCAACATGTATCTTCTTTTCCTTCAGAATACCCTTACAGTATCACTTCAGTTTTCTTCTTCAGTTTGTAAGTTTTGATCCAATTCAGAATGTGCCACCATGGTGTAGAGTTACTGTTTGTAAGACGGTTAAACAAGTCACAGAATTAAGACAAAAAGACAGTGAAATAGACTGGGGAGGGGGGCGGGGCGGGGAGTAAAATGGGTAGCTCCTGTGTGCTCAGTACCTGGTGATATATCCAAAATGTTTGTATTACTAAGGCATGAACATATGAATGTTTTGTTCCTAGATGTGAGGGGTTGCAGCAAGATGAAGGAGACCCATATCTGGATGAGATCTTGGACATGCTGACTTGCCTTACAACCTGTGGAAAAACTGAACTGAAAGTTTCTGGCAATATTGTACACCCGCAATTACCACACTTTGATTTTGAACGGACACGGTCTTCTGGTACAGTGTGTATATATATATATATATATATATACACATATGTGGCTATGCAGGCAGGTCATACAAAAATGAAGCTCTATTCATTACGTGTCTTAAGATGGAGGAAGGAGTATGAGATAGCATCTTCTGATCTATGTGCTTAATGCTGCAGGAGCCATTCATGCTACCTACATAAAACTGACCTGACCATGTCAGCTGTAGGGGTCTGATCCAAGGTTGAGAACATGCCTCCCAATCGCATTCATCCTTATATGTCTGTGACTCCTATTTCCACTCAGACATGATTTAACATTATAGTTATGGTGCTTGCAGTCATAAATAACATTGATGTAAAAATGATCTCACCTGGTTTTATCCCACAGGAATGACAGTGAAAAACCTCCAGGCTTTTCAGGTGTTGCAGTCCATTTTCCAGAAAAGTAATGATCAGCACCTATGTGGAAGAGTCTTAGCAGCAATTGGTACCATATGGGCCTGGGACACAGTGAACTTCTTTCTTCTTGAATGGACACTACAACCTATCAACCAGTTTACTGACATAATCCATTTGAAACCACATCCAATCCAAACCCAGTTTTTCAGACTGGTGGAGTCCATAGTGCTAGACCTGTCCTATGTCCCCCATGAAATTTTGAAGAAGATTCAGTATTTGATAAAGGAAAACGTAGTGCCATTCTGCACCTTAACAGCTCTCCGGTGCCTTCTCAGCATGACCAAGAAGGACCTGTTATTCAGTGACATATTCCGTGACTCTGGGCTCTTAGGCCTACTGCTGGCACTTTTGAGGAAGCAAGCCAAGATCCTGAGGAAGTCAGGTACAACTTAATATAACTCACAATGACTATTGAAGTAGGCAGATCAATAGGAATGAATTAATCTCTTTCTACAGTCGATTTATAAATTTTATGTACTGAGTAGCTAGATTTTGTCTGCAAGACAACTGACATAATTTTATGACATACTAAGCTGGGTCCTCTCTGAAATCTTAGTTGTTTATTGTTCTGTTCACTAGCCTAAACAGTTCTGGGCTATTCTTCACCAGTGTATGATGAATTCTTCTGGAGGGTACCATTCAGCCCACACTTTTAAACAGGTCTCAATTTGGGGTTCTTTAGGATGCCAGCTTGAGAGTAGAGGAAGAAAGAGTTTTCCACAGTACTTAGTTCTTCTGAAAATAACACTTAATCCTGAGGACTGATGATGGAAAGCAGTTTCTTGAATTTTGGCCATATATTACCCACAATTACTACCACCCATTGTCATCTGATATAGTTATCTCCTATTATGAAAACAGAAAGGTAACACTCATGGTGTGGTAACTGTGGGGTACAGCTGACTGAGGGGACAGACTCACATATTTAAAAGTTTATAACTGCTGTTTTAGAGAAAGAAAAACGCATGATAACATTTTCTGTGCTGTATGAATTGGGAAATGCCTTTAAATTTCAGTGCAATAATCATTTAGTAAAGGAGGAGAGACCCAAAGTACTAGGTATAACTTCTGATGCAGCAAGCACAATTGAATTATTTATACACATTTATTCCAAGCAACAGAAGGAATATGAATTGCAAGAGAAGTTCTGGAGTGCAGACATCCAGGACCTGCAAGGACACTTAGATTTGCATTCTTGATATCAGAGAACTAGGGTTTTATACAAGATTACTTAGATAAGGGTTGTCAAGATAAATACCAAGGTTTTTGAAAACTTGCCTTCTGGTTATGAACTGGTGTGTAGGGGCTTTCTTCTGTCTTTGCACTAATTTCACTGCTTTAGATCACATCCACAGAAATTTAGCATGCAAACTTCAAGACTTTTAGATCTAAAAATAACCTACCCTACACTGTTTGATCCTGGAAATGTTTGCCTTTGAACAAGCAGGAAGTTTCTACTCTTCGCTTTTAGTTTAGATATTTGAGTACTCACTGTTGCTACAGTATTTTACCACTTTGCAGCTCATAATCTGTAATGTTCTTTTATTTGTGTGTATCCAGGTATCACTAAACAGGTAACTCTACATCAGCTGGGAAGTGGAAACACCACTATTACCAATATTGCCTATAGTTATGCAGGAGATCTGGGCTGCAGAGCATAGAATCAGACCTGTGTTTCCCAATCCCAGACTAGACCCTGATGACTAGACAATGCCCTGTCTGTATTTTGTTGCTCATTTTAGGGTTCAAGTAGCCTGTAAGTAGTATTTAAGAGGAAACTAGAATTTGCTGGAGAACTGTTTTTCCTTTTTGGTTTAATATATTTTAGCTACAGTTAACCATGTTTTGTATAAATTGTATTATGACTTTTAATATACTGACAGCTGGAACCCATCTTCCTGCTCTGGAAGAAGGCACTGAGAAGGAATTAAATGCTGTGATGCTGATGATGGTGGCTGCTCTTACAGTGAGGTCTGTGAGGAACGCTGGTAAGAAATGACATATAGCTGCATTACTTTTGTGATATTTGGTGGTAAGTGGCCACGATGCCTCTTAAGGAGCACCAACAAATTTTCCACCTTTTGTGCTTCAGTGAGAAGTGGAAGTCAAAAGCTAGAAGTGTTAGAAATAACATTGCTACACCAGGGAGAAATGTGGCAAAGATATTCTCATCCTGCGTAATGAGCCTTATCCCAGTAGTCACCCTGCTTCCCTCATCCATGTAGATACTCCCGAAGTGTTTACACAGAAAACACAAACTTGCCTTGTGGAAAACAAGACTGTGTGTGTGAGTTGTGTATTGTTTGTTCATTGAGATTTTCTTCCATTGTATCTAATACTTGAAATCTTGATGAGATCAGACGCATGCTGAGTAACACTCATACATTTAGTATTGGCATACCTAAGAGGTGTATGTGTAGGGGATCTTGTGGGACATAGTAATACAGAAGTGAACTCTTCTAAATATTGGAATCCATTCACTCAATCCACTCTTGAATCCTAGAATCGTTGTGTTTGCAGCATCTTACACAGTGCAAATATATTGTCACAAACTATCAAACAGTCCCCTTAATAAACTAAAGAGATGTTTAAGCTTTAAGGCGTCTTTTCATTCATTATTGTATTGGGAAGCTGTCATCTGTGATGATTAGAAACCATGGTCATCTAGTCATTTTATCCCTAGTTGTTCTTGTGCCATTCAGTTTGTGTCTTCTTTAGCTGAACCAGCTTTTCTTCTTGCCTCTACTGCTTTATTTGTAGAAATGTGGCACTTCATACCAACACTGAAAATCTGTCTTTGAAAACTACAAGTAAAGGATAGTTTAAGTAACAAATGATACTGTATTTGTCTGCAGTTGTTCTGAAGGACTATGGAATGGTGCCATATATCAAGATATTTTTGGATGATGAGTGCTACAGGAGTGCTACTCTCAGCATCTTGGAGCAGCTATCAGTCATCAACTATGAAGAATATATGAGCATTATTATTGGGGCCCTCTGTTCTTCTACTCAAGGGGAACTACATCTGAAACTAGATCTGCTGAAGGTAATTAATGTGGCTTCCCATGTGGTGGTTGTTTTCTTGGAAATTGCTTGTCTTGTGGCAAGTTGCTCTTAATTGCACCTCTAGCACTGTGAGTTTTTTCCAAGAAGGAAAGTGCAGAAGAAAAAAGAGCCATGGGCTGTTTTTTCATTCTGGTAAATTGGGCGCTGTGATTTTTAGTGATATATGTGTGGTCAACACCTTCACTCAGTATCAGATTGCGAAGTCTTTTGAAGATTTAAATAGTAATGCAGGACGGAGAAATGGAAATGGTAAAGAGTGTGGTTGTATGAGCAGTTCTATGTAACATGACAGAGAAAGGAGAAAAAAATGTGGATGAAAGTGGAGGAGATATGGAGGGTGGATGTAGGAAGAGATAAAGGAGTAAGATTTGAAGAGGCAGGGCAGGCATGAGATGAACAGCTTGGTTCTGATAAGTTTCCAAGGTTGAAACTTTCCTGTCCTTAATTTTGTCATCTCTCACATACACCAGTGTCATGGAAAAAGAGATGTGAGATGATGGAAAGGAGGAGTATTATGAATATTTGGAGGAAGAAATTACAGTTATTCATAGCCTCTGTTGTGTTTAGAGAGGGTCTGATTCATAGGCAATGAAGCAGGGGAAAGAATCAGTGTGCTTTATTTTGGTTTAGACCACAGGCATCAAATTGAAAAGCAGCAGTGCTGTAAGTACTGATTTAAAGTTTCATTCTACCTTCTCTAGCAAGTGTGAACTGAACTCACCTTTCAGCACAATATAGCAGCTGCTTCTGTGATAAAAGAACCATGTTACTTTAAAAAAAAAACAAAAATGTGACAAAGTTTATAGATTTGATTTGAAACAGTAAATTTAACTGGAAAAGTTGAGTATGATGTCCAAACTAATATGAAAATAAATGCAGCTTCAGTGTCTAATTTTGACAAATGATAACTGTATTAAAGCATAATGTGAGCAAATGAATTTATTATCTACATCCATTGGGACTGTGATTGTGTTACGGACAAATTCAGATTGATTTGCTAATATATATTTAGCTGTTAAAGCCTAAGCCCAAATGCAATTAGCACTGCTGTATTCCAGCATGGCACGTGGACAATTATGAGGAATAACAAATAATGGAATGTGAAATAAATTCTGTTAACGTTAACTGAGTTAGGGGGTTTCCAGCAGACATCAGTTTTATAGATTCAAGACAGAGGAATACTAACTCATAGGCGATTAAATTCTAACTGAGTTAGAGCTGGAGGAAATGTGGTTACTGTTGACCTTCTCTGAAATGTGTTAAAGCCATCCTGATAACTTCAACTCTTGAGTTATTAAATTTACTCCCTGTTCAGAAGTCTCTGCCTGGTTTCATACATTATCATACAAAATTGAATGACAGTAATAGAGTTCCCCCTCCCCCTCCAATTCTGGCAACCCTTTCTAGCAGTCCTAGATCCTGATACAGGGAGATATGTTAGAAACTGTTCCTCTTTAGCAGGTTGTGAAGTGAAACTCTTCCATTGGATATCTGTTGGGAAACTTTAAGTGTAAAATTATCCCTTTCCAATGTGAAAAGGTACAGCCTCAAATTTGAAAGGTCCCTTGTACCTGAAAGAGCATCATATTTACAAAATGAATTGTGAAACATGCGAAAAACCTGGGATGGATTACATTCAAACACAGTTGACTGTTTTCTTGCAAGCTCTTTTTTCTCACCAATTTTACTTCCACCACTACACTCTTACTAACTTTTCTAGATTTGTTTTAAAATGGCAAGCCCACAGCATTAAAAAATTACAAGTGGTGTAGGTTGGGTTTTATGCATGTGTAATATTGTCAAGTGGCATTCACTTATAACCTGCTTTAAGCCCGTTGAAGTTAGAGGAAATCTAATGACTTTGTTATCTTGGGATCTGACTCTTTATGGCTTTTTACCTCCAAGGTGTTGTGCAAACTTTAAAAATACCTCTGCTGAGAAAGGGAATTATTATTGCTTTTCTTAATGAGGAGAGCCTGCTGCTTGCAGTATTCTTTGGGCCATCCTGTGTCACTGCTTTTTGGAAAGGGTCTGCTCAGTCATACAAGCAAAATTCCGGTGTGGCTCCTTAGTGTATCCAGGACTGTAGGAAGACTTGCCTATAGAGAGCTGTGCCTCCTTTTCAGTTTCTCTATGAGGTTATTTACACAATTGAATCTCTGCTTTTGTTTATTTAAGGCAAACACAGATTTCTTGAGAGAGTCTGAGAAAACTGATGAAAGAATAGCCAAAGATCTGAAAGTACCTTTGGCCAAATTGACTAGTGTAGGTAATGTAGGAAATTTGATTTCTTTGCTTATTCCTGTGAGCACTTTTCCCTACCTGTCAGGCTGACTCCATGGCTTGCTCCTGAGGGTGCATTCAGATCTTGGTTGTTTGACTCATCGGGTGTATGGGGGAAGGGAGGATGAGAAAAGTTGTGCAGTGGTGACCTTTGCTTTGACTAACTTTTTTTTCTTTTCTTCAGAGAGTGGAATTTCAGTGAAAGAACTTGGAATTTTAAAATATTCTAAAGCTTATTTGTCCTTGGTTTAAGGGCTACTTTTGTCTCCTTTCTTCCCAATATTTGTAGTCACTCCTGAGGATACTGGAGAGTCCCAAGAGTCATTCAGCTTTCAGAACCTGCAGTGGATTCAACGGACTCCTGTCCCTTCTCTCAGACATGGAAGGTGCATTGCAGGACCCTCCATCTGGGCTCTGGACAGCAGTTGGACAGAATTGCATATTGGAGCTTATTTTCTACACACTTCAGGGAATAACAGCAGCCTTGCACCTGGACCCTGTCAACAGTGACTTCTTCCAGCAGAATGGTCTCTTTGAAAAGATGGCAGAGGATCTTGGGTCACTTGGATGCTTCTGGACACAAGGGGAATGGCAAATCCCTCTGAGACTTGAGAAGACAAGGACATTTGCAGAATTCTTGGATGCAGCTTTCTGCTCTTCAGAACCTTTCCCAATGTGGCTAAAGAACTGCATATGGATTCTGAATTTTCTTGATCACATGGTCAAAGGAACCCTCCATTTGGAAAGCTACTTCAGGGAGAGAAAGCCAGAGATGGGAGAGGCATCAAGAGATGATCAGGAGGGACCCCAAGCTCAAGAAGAGCATCCTGTTGCTTTCAAAAAAACAGGCAACAAATTATCTGCCACTACCTATAGGCTGTGGGGAAACCGTGAAGAGAAGTAAGTCTTTATTTACTACAGGAAATAATAGTTAGACTGGTATCTGCATTTTACGGTAGTAAACTGAGGTAAGGTGTGACACAACCTGCCTAGAACAAACAAATCAGTGCCACAGTCCCAACCACTGGGCCTCCAGACAGCAGAAATCACCTCTTTTTGAAAGGTAAATGATGGTAAACATTGGGTCATAAGTGTTCAGTGGAGCAGTGGGACTCACAACTCCAAGAATTGCAGAGTTTGTGCTGAAGGTTCTGACACATGCAATGTGAAAAATGGGCTCTAAGGAAAGAGCTGCTGGGACCCGAAGCATGCATTTAGTCTCTGCTTGAATCTGCCTCAATCAATTTTGACTTTTTCAGTTATGTGGAAAGCTGTTTCCAGTCACCTGATACATTAAAAATAAAAATTATTTCAAATTATTTTCAATGTTCTCTCATGCATGTGTCTCCAGGCACATGTGTGCAGACACACACATACTCTTGCTCATTTATTCATACAGCTGAAATAGAGAAAATTGGGAAAGGAGTAGTAATGCTGCCTGTCTTATACAATGAAGGATTATGTCAAAATATATGTCCTTTGCAGGAAAGAAAGACTACACCAAAAATGAATGTAGCTGTCATCTGTGACTCGATTCTGAATAACTTGCATTTTCTAAGTTATGAGATCATCTGCCCCTTCTTGTGTCTTTATCTTGGATCGATTGGTCCTTTTATCAAAAATGTTTCTGATTATGCTTAAAAAGGCTAAGTTTGAAACTGTGAGATTCCTTACGGTAGGTTATTCCACAGTCATTTCCAGGTTTAAAGACCAAGTTATTACGTCTGTCACTTGTAGCTAGCAGTCACTGAA